GAAGTGGTTACCATGGGTGATACACATTCTGGATAAGGAGATACATAGACGTCAGTGCTGCCTGTGTAAAACAAGAAGTCTGATCTTTCTGTGGATGTACAGTTGTGTCAATATTCGAGGGAATGGGTAAGATTTCAGGGGGCCCAGTTGCCACTGCGTCTAATATTCGTCCATAACTAACTAGCGAGTAACTGTAACTTCAGTGTTTTACAAAAAACTCTCCATGTTACAGTTACATGCTTGTTAGCATATATTAGAATGATCAAGAAGCCCTCAGTGAGCAAAGGACATAGACAAAAACACTGAAACTGGACATCTGAATAAAGTAGGTAAGGTAGACTGATTAGTCTTGAATCATGATAAGCAAAGAATGTAACCAACTTCTAAGACTGAACTTTGGAGGTGTGTCTGCAGATTTCTGTGAAAAACTGGAAGTGAGTGTCCTGTAATATAGACAAAAGGTGGAGACACTAAAAACAGAAAAAATCTGTTTTTTAGTCAAGGATTTTATATAATTTTCTTTGTGTTTTCTGCTTTTTTCCCTGGCACTAAAAAATAACTTGCACATGAGTGGAAATGAAATAAATGAAGGCGCTCTCTGACTTTCGCTGTAGCGAGATAAATAGATAGTAGTAGTAGCATTTGTATACATGCTCCTGTACATTTACTACTCTCTGATAGTTATTAGAAGCACAACTGCACACAAAAACATTCCCTTATGCTTATTAGTACACATGCACACCCATGACCTCTTGGCACTCATCTAGAATAGCAGAGCCCCCTGTCAGCCAGAACACAAACGTATTGAGGAATTTCTGGAACATTGTTGTTCATTCATCAGGCAAAAGGGAGAGAATAACTGTCTGTGTGAGAGAAAGGAGAAACGCTCCTCCCAAACCTCCACGGAAATGAAAGTCTTCCTCGAGTCTCGGGCCGTAAGTGGATTTCTCTCACTCTTAAGAGGCTGAATGATATTCTGGCAGTAACACTTAGCTGCCTTCACCGCCTTCTCCTCCTCAAATTCACTTCAGCATGTCATCCAATATTCCTCTCACTGTCTGTCTCTGCACTTTCCACTCAGAGAGCGGCTCCCCCTCACGCCTCCGTCGCTAACTTCCCTCCTCACTCTGCTCCTCTAACAAGCCGCCTCCACACACAGGCTCCTGTTTATACGAGGTCAGGATGTGGGGTCATGCAGAGCTGCGTAAGACCACCCTTCATTTACTTCATTTCCAGTCAAAACGGACATTAAGTACAAAAGATTCATTTTCCAGCAGCAGGAAAAAGCAGGAAATACACATTCGAAGGGGCAGTCCACCCGAATTTCTGCAAAATTCAATCGTGGAGATGTAAACAAAGTCATTCAGAGAGGTTTGATTGTGGATTTCTGGTGATAGAAACCAGGGGTCACCATGTCTACAATGCAAATACATTTTATTTACTATCCAAAACTACCAGTGAACCTATATATATATATATATAGATATCTTCTAAATTTTATTGTAATGTTGATGATGGTAAAATAGCAGTAAATATGAAAAAGAGGGGGACTAGTTTGCCTCACAACACCCTGCATGTATCTTTCCACCATGAAGACATAAAAAAATAATAATAAGGCCAAAATCTAATCTAAAAACTGTCATACAATAATATCTTACACACTTACAAAAGATGGTTCTTCAAGGGTTCTTTAGTAAAAGCAATGCTTCTGTTCAGATCCATGAGTTCTATATAGAACCATTATTGCTTAAATGGTTCTTTGCATGGTGAAATGGTTATTCAGATTGGTGGAGAATGTGTTGTGTATGGTTCTAAGTAGCACCTTTTTGAAAATGGTTCTACGCAGCACCAAAAAGAGTTACACAACTTGATCGTAACAATAGCAGAACACTTTTTGGTGCTATATAGAACAATTTCACCATGCAAAGAACCATTTAAGCATGATCTGGTTGTATATACAACTCATGGTTCTAAATCGAACCACTGCCTTTACTAAAGAACCCTTGTAGAATCTTTGAGTGTGTAGGCCTCAGGCAGCGTATCATAACATGTATGTTTGTATATATTTTTTTATGAATAGGCATATTGTTCAGTTACTGTTTATGTGATGTCATGAAATCCAACACAAGTGCATACAGCCACTGATTTAGCCTACAGTTGTTTAGCCCCACCTATTGACACTGAAGTTATAAGGAGTGTTTCAGCGCAGACTGCTTTTTGAACAAGGTGCAATACAGGACAGCCAATCAAACAGAGGTCATTTATATATATTGGCCTAAAAGGCACAATGACAAAAACAGCCTGTTTAATTCTAGAGGTTGGAATTATGAAATTAATTATGTCTGTTTTGAGTTCATAAACTGCATCAATAGAACCCAGCGAACAAGAAAATAAGACTCATTATTCATCTGTTCTGTTATTCTATTATTCTATTATTCTGTTGTTCTGTATTTACGAGGGCGAGGACCTGAAATGTGGGCCACATTGGTCCTTGCAGTTTAAGGGGTTAAACTCTTCAGACGTCTGGTTCCTATCACCACCACTGGGAACAATTCTGACTCTGTAAGTTTCTCTACAACTGAGCATTTCACACCAAACTACTCAGAATGATTTTGTTTACATCTTAATCATGTCATTATAGACAAAGTTGAAAAGTCAAAATTCCCCTTTAACAGAAAATTAAGCTTAAACCAAAAACTAAGTTGTATTTAGTCTGTCCTCTCTTTATTACAGCTTCCATTCTTTTTGGGAGACTTGCTTTCACTTTTCAACCTGTGGGGATATTTTTACACACCTCCAAAGTTCAGTCTTAGAGGCTGGTTGCACTTTCATGATTCCAATAGAGTCATCAGTCTATAGAACCGTTCTTCAGATCTCAGTTGTTTGGTTTCGGTGTTCTAGATAAATTTCCTAAAAAAAACCTACAAAAAAATCCTAAAGATTCCAATACTGTGGGTCTGAACGGATGTGTAGCTGTTAATAAGCTGTTGCTGAGAAAATAAATCGAAGAAAAAGACCTGAAGAGCGTTCGTTATTGGGATTATTTGGATTGTGAGAAGCAGAAAATTCAACCTACTATTCAACTTCTATGGCTGAACTTTGGAGGTGTGGAAAAACATCCCCACAGATTTCTTTGAAAAACTGAAGCGAGTCTCCTGAAAATAATGGGAACTGTAATAAAAGTAGAGTGGACAACACAGTAAATACCCAAATGCTATGTTTAATCATTGTGTATTTTTTTTTGCTAAATATGTTTCCTGCTTTTTTCCTGATGCTGAAAAATGAAAAATGTGTGCTTTAATGTCGTTTTCACTGCGTATTAAATTACAGAAAGGCCTCTGACTTTTTCACAGTCTTGTATTTGTGATATAAGAAGTTTCTACACACAGATGTGGAAGAGCAGGTCTGTGTGTGTATATCTGGGGGGTCCAGGCTGTCAGTAGAATGCCGGGGGGTCCTGCATGCCGCCTCTGGTTTTGCCATGCTAATTCGCTCCCTGCTGGAGGAGGAGGATGCTCTACATGTGTATGGAGGGATGCTGTGAAACAGAGGAATGTCCCTCTATGCATTGTTCCCGCCCTTCTACACCCCTTCTTCTGTTCCTCTGCTCATTTAAACCACACACAGCCACACACGTTTCACATTCCCCACAAATTTCCCCAACACGTCTCTTTTTAGGCCGTAGACAGGAACCTGCAGAGGACGACGCATTCCAGACCCGACGCAGCTTTAATTAAATACCACACCGACAGCACTGAGAAAAGACTGACTCCACCACTTTATTGACTTTACTGGATTTTTGTGTACAGCAAGGAAAACGTGTCACTTTACTATATATGTTTATATATACTGTATATATATATATATATACACTGCTGCTGTCCAAAGAAAACCATGTTCTCCATTTCTTCATCTCCATTTTTGGCAATCTTTATTTTTTAATATTTCAACACACCAGCCGTCCTTTACGTTGTGTGAAGATTTAATGACTAATGGACCAACAGAAATGCTCTAAAATCACTTGGAATAAAATCCTTTACAATAACTTACATTACAGTTCACAGTGTTTTTGCCTTCGCCTGTCAAGTTACTATTTTGGAGCGATTTGTTTTTTTTTGGACAGCAACAATATACATACACATAGCGTGTGTGTATAAATACACAGGATTTTCACAAAAGTCTGAGACCACATAGAAAATCATTTACGATTTTTCATCAAATCCTCAAAATAAAAACAGAAACTTTTAGAATCTTGAAAAATTTGAAGAAAAGTTTTGACAAGTAAAATGAAGAAATGTTTGAAATGATGTCAAACTGACGCAGATTTGTCACATCGACCATGTTCAGATCTTTACATCAAAGGGTCAGATTTTGTCTTTTTGGCTTATCCCTTCCACTGAAACAAGTGATTAGACAACTCTTAGGTGGATTTAATTTATTGCTTGTTATGCTAATAATATCATTTTTAATGAAAAATTGGTCTCCCCACCTCGTGTTTGTGTGTGTGTTTAAATATATATATAAATACATAGATCCTCAATATGTTAAACAGCAAATAAATAGAAATTGTGCTAGACAGATAGACAGACAGACGACAGATAGATAGATAGACAGATATATATATATATATATATAGATATATATATATAAAGATTCTAAATAATATTAGAATAAGCATAAATAACGTTAACACATTAAACAACATTAAAACGATAAGCAGTGATTTTCTGTACGTTAATGTGTTAATTTAACCATTTCCACACCTCGAGGAAGCTCAGTATTACTTACCGTCATCATTCACTACCTGGTTTGGTTAATCACTACTTTTTTACATTAAATTAAATCAATGCGCTCCTGATGGAACTGACCAAACCCATGTGTCGGCAGGAGGCGCCCAGGAGGAATCTGGAGCCTCGTTCTTCAAACCAGCTCATATCAGTTTTCCAAATAAACTTCAGCTTTTCAGACTCGCAGCAGAGATACAGATACGATACAGACCATTTGTTTCACACTGTACTCATTTATTAAAGGCTCCATTTTCTACGTTTCCTGTATTTTATTTTTCCCCTGATGTCCAAATAACATTGTGTAGATTTATGCACCAAAATCTCCAACATCAACCTTGTCCCACAAAAGTAAAGAGTTTTTGTTACCTTCAAGACTGATAAATGTAAATGAGCTCTGTTGTGATTGGCTGCCTTGTGCTGTGCCTAATAAAAAAAAGCCATCCACCTTAAACGCTCCTTATAGCTTCAGAGTGAGTGGGCGGGACTAAATTGCTGTACGTGAACTGCTGAATAGGCAGATATATGTAAATATTCATTTTTGTGAAAAGGTGAATTCAAAACAGGCTGTTTTTGCAGCTTAGTCTAAATATATGGACTGTATGGACTTCAGTGTGAACGGTATGTTTTAAATGGTTTATATAGTGTCCATCAATCTCATTTCAAAATAGTGGTTTTCCATGATACAGGCCCTTTAAAACACATGGGAATTGGCCGATCTACAATTACCTGTAGCTGTAAACAATGTATTAGGCTTTAATCCTGCACACCTTAAAAAAGATTAATAAAGTTCTTTCTAATAGCAAAGAATATTTCACACGATGGCAGAATGTCAATGGTGAGAATAACTTTGCCTTTAAAAAAAAAACCTCTCCAAGCCAACGATCACAACATTGGTGAGTAAACACTAATTTCTTATATGTAACCTTCAATAAATACATCTATAATCTTTCTCTATATACATGCAGAATCACTTTACATCTCTATACATATGGCAAAGCACTATGTCAGCGTTTCTATGGTAGCTGACCTCACAGGCCTTCGCTCACTCTTTTCGATGGCTTGTTTCAGTGCTTCACTTTATTACTGAAACTTTAATATTCCACACAACATGCTCAGCACAGTTTCACAAACACTACTTTCAAATCTTTACTACTCAAAGCTGGTGATCAATGAAACTAATCCTGGGTGACGGAAGATATTTGGTCTCTTATTTATTGTTTTTTTTTTTCACAGATATTAATGTGACCTACCTGAGGAGTGATACGAAGTGACATTCTTATGTACATATTTCTAATATGTTATATTTCACAGTGAAGCTCAACCTTTACACAAAATGTACTCAATATTTAAACTTAAAACTTGGTCTATTGATAATGTAACAGACGTGAAGTGATACAGCTACACGTACACAACATCGTTTACTTCATTAGAGACCAACCCCGTCATAAAAGAACTGAAAAGCAATAATTTTCCTTCATTTGCCTCAGACTGTCAGCTATGACGAGCTAAAACTGCTACACTATCCGGCCCAAAGTAGGTGGACATCATTACTAATTGAGTTCAGTTGTTTCAGCCACGCCTATTGTTGTATAAAATCAATCAAATAGCCCTGCAATCGCCATAGACAAACACTGGAAATAGGATGGGTCATACTGAGGAGCTCAGTGACTTTAAACATGGCACTATAACAGGAAGCCTCTGCCACAAGTCGTTTGAAAAAGTTCTGCCCTGCTAGATCTGCCCCAGACAACTGTAAGTGCTATTACTGTGAACTGGAATACGAAGCAGTAGACCACGTAAACTCACAGAGGGGGACTTGCATCATGCACTATAGAGAACTGTGCATCAGTGGCTTCATGACATGTGTTTCCATGGCTAAACAGCTGCACACAAACCTACAAGCACTATGCGTAATGCCAGCATTGGCTGGAATGGTGTAAAGCACACCACCACTGGACACTGGAGCAGTGGAAACTCTGAAATGATGAATCAGACTTCACTGTCTGGTAGCCTGATGAACAAATCTGGGTTTGGTGGATGTCAGAACACTGCCTACAGGAATGCACAGTACCCACAGTAAAGTTTGGTGGAGGAGGGATGATGAGCTGGGCTGTTTTTCAGGGTCTCAGTTCCAGTGAAGGGTGATGTTAATGCTACAGCACACAAAGACATTTTAGACATTTATGGGCTTCCAACTTTGTGGCAACAGTTTGAGGAAGAGCCTTTCCTGTTCCAGCATGACTGTGATCCATTGCACAAAGCAGCTCCATAAAGATATCATTTGATGAGTTTGGTATGGAGGAACCCCAGTGGCCTGCACAGAGCCCTGACCTCAACCCCACTGAACACTTTCGAGATGAACTGGAATGTTCATTGTGAGCCAGGCCTTTTCGTCCAACATCAAGCTAAGCTCACAAATGACCTCACAAATCACTCTTTTGACCGAATGGACACAAATTCCCACAGATACACTCCAAAATCTTGTGGAAAGCCTTCCCAGAAGAGTGGAGGCTGTTATAGCTGCAAAATAGCAACTCCATATTAATGCCCATGGTTTTGGAATGGGATGTCCAACAAAGTCATATAGGTGTGATGGTCGGATGTCCACATAATTTTGGCCATATAGTGTAGCTATAACTACAGCTATAGCTAGGTAAAACTGTAACCAACTATAACTAGCTAAAACTGAAGTAGTGATACGTATAGCTAAATGAATCTTAACTAACTTTCTATAACTTTCTCCATTGTTTTTCATTCTCAATATTTTTTTCATTCTCTCAAATTTGGTAGGACGTTAGTGTATTAATATTATAAATAGAATGCTTTAATTACCTCACATTTCCAACAAATCTGTGTGGCCATGATAAAGCGCCCTTTATTGACACGTTGATGTGGTAAATGATTTTCACATCTTTCACAAGTATCGTCCTAGTAGCCCACCACACCCCATGACCAGTCCCATCAAACCGTCAGCCCCACCACAAACCAGGTCACCCTTAACGGGTATTCAGTGGGCGAAGGCCACTTCCTCTGGGTTGAGTGGCGGACGGATGTCCAGTTTTCGGGACTTGCTGTCTTCGCCCACCAGCTCCAAGCGGAGGGAAGGGGCTGCGCCTCCCTCCTTCTCCTCTTCCGTCTCTCCATCTACAGTCAGGCGGAGGGTGCAGCCTTTAGGGAGGAGCTCCTGTTCGTAGGCGGCCGCTAACTGGTTCACCACTCGACGCTCCACCTGGCAACAGGCAGATTTAACACAGTGATTTTCTTTCTATTTTAATTAGGCTTTCGGCAGTTGAAGCAGTGAATTCAAACACATCATCGCTGTCGCTCAAAAACCTCGTATCTCTGTTTGTGTTGCTTTTTTACTTTTTTGCATAATTTGAAAACTCCAGTTACCCTTTGCATTGTGTTCAAATTTCAGGATGAACAGATCAGAAGAAGCAGCCCGAAATGGCTTCCTAACTTCCATTATAAGTCAGGAATGTTTTTTCCTTCTCCTGTAAAATGACCATTTTGAAGAATATATATTTTTATATATTGCTGCTATTGTGTTAAAAAGGGTTTTACTCCAATTTTTTTTTTTTTCAAATGTCAGCTGTCCTTCATATTGTATGAACATCTCATGATGAATGGATCAATAGAAATGACCCAGAATTACTTGCTACATTAACATTCACTAGAGTTAAGAATGTTATTTCTTTCTCCTATAAATGTTATTATTTGAGACATATAAAGTACATTTCGCAGTGACGACATGAGAACTCAAACAATACTGAATTATTTTTTCCTCCAGAATCATTAATTAAGTTAGACGTCCACCACCAGACTTTTCCTGTCTATGAACCAATACTCATTCAATAGGTGCTTCAGCTCAATGAGAACACCATTATTCTTTCCTAAACCCCATCTTTCCTGCGCTCATCCTTCCTTCCTGACGCCCTGCTGAGTCTTTAGCGGCGAGCGATAATGGCCAAAGAATGACAGTATTGATCGCTCTATTGTTTATCGATGGCGATATTGATCAGGTAAAGGCTGCACCTCATGTTTGATGGAGCGCGCTCCGTAGTGGACGTTGTAGCCTCGAGCCAGAAGCTCCAGCACCGGCCTCTCCCACAGCAGGGTGATGTTGTGCCTCTGCTTCGCCTGGGGGGGAAAAAGAAGAGGGGGAGGGGTAGAAATGGAAGATAGAGACGAAGGCAGAGGGTATTTGTTTAAGCGAGGCAAGACACTGCAGTCAAAGGGTGGGCAATATGGCAGAAACAACACCACGATACTTTGATACCTGCAAGATACACACTGGCCTTTATTCATCAAAGTTGTGTACCCAACATGGATGTGCTTATTTTACATGCACATTAGCATAAACAAATGCAAACTATTTCATGTTCCATTTAAACACATATTACACTGTGCTTTTGTTTTATACTACGACTCCACCCACAAAATAAACAAAAGCACATAAATACAAAAACAATAAATGTTATTCTGGGAAAATAATCACAAAAAACAATCACATTATTCTAATACGTTTTGTTTGACATCGTCCAGTGGTCGTCATTGTAACAGTATAAGGTGGGTCAGAAGGGGGAGCAGTGCAACCGAAGCTTGAGCTCAGACTCCACCTACAAGAACAACCATTGGCCCATGAGCCACTGAATGTAGTCCATTGGCTCCCTACTGAACCATCTGCATGAATTAGTACATGCTCTATGTAAACGATATGTAGATTAGGTGCTGGTAGGCTGGCGCTTGATTTCATGCAGCGAAGCTGATTCATCATTTGCGCTCAAATCTCTGCTCATTTCTATGTTGTATGAAAGTTAATATTTGCATACCTTTGAAGAATAAAGGCCCTTGTGTAACATATTGCATTGTTTTTCTATTTGTGATATACAGTTTTGGCCATGCTGTCCACTACCATGTCCACTGAGGTAAACCTGCCCTTTTATGATAGATGCAGTTGCTGAGTGTTGTAGAACACTGACTGATACCCATAACATATAAGAAGGTACTGATATGAGAATTCTGGGCTGATATTCATATTTGCTGCTGATGATATATAAACACTGATAAAATGCAGAAAACAGGACTGAATCCACCTGAATTGGCACTGCAAAGATGTATTTCTGTAGGTTTACAAATGCATGAAAATGAATAAGATGCAGGTGTTTTGCACAGTAACCCAGCATCACCTTAACATTCAGCTCTTCCAGTGTACAATAAATACATCTTCAAATATTGGCTTCATATCTGACACAATCATTTTTCTTAAGCAATTAGCTGCCAACACGGACTGGCACTTGGCAGAACAATGACTAAAGTGCTTCATCTTCGAATGCAAAGATTTGTTTCTAGAAAAAAAGATATGAACGGTCCAGACTGTGGTCTTCTCTGTGGTTCTTTATGGACATGAAAGCTGGACGATAAACAAGCGAGACAGGACAAATATTGATGCCTTTGAACAGGGGTGCCCAAACCTTGTCCTGGAGATCTATACACACTTAAAAAGCATGGTTCTTCAAGGGTTCTTAAGTAAAGAAAACGGTTCAGTAAAAACCATGAGTTTTATATAGAACTATTTCATACTTAAATGGTTCTTTGCATGATATAATGCTTCTTTGGGTTGATGGAGAATGTGTTGTATATAGAAACCTTTTGAATACGTGGTAGAACCCATTTGGTGCCATAACCATTTCACCAGGTAAAGAACCACCTAAGCATGAACTGGTTCTACACAGAACTCATAGTTGTAAATAGAACCATTGCCATAACTAAAGAACCACATTTTTTAAGTTTACCACCCTGGAGAGTTCAACACACCTGGCTTTAACATTCAGAAGCTCCTGAAGGCTTTTATTATCTGGATGAAGTCTGATGAGAGTTGGAGCTGAACTCTGCAGGGTGGTAGATCTCCAGGACTAGGACTGGGCATCTTTGCCTTTGTGGGCTGGTGAAGACATTTGAGAGAACCTTGGGCGGCAAAGAAAACAAACAAATAGATCCTCAGCCAAATCAAGCCTCAGTGCTCACTCGAGGCCCAGATACTCAAACTGAAGCTCTTATTTTGGACACATTCTGGGAAGAAGCGGTTCATTGGAAAAGACCATTATGCTTGGAAGAGCTGAAGTTAAAAGAGAAAGAGGAGTGCAGTGCGATGAACTGGTGCTGGACTGTCAGAAAAACTGCCTCACATATGTCCCCGAGACACGCTGTGATGAAGTGTGTTGTTACATAAAGAAAGAAATCAAAACTGGCTTAGCGAAGGAATTTAAAAGACTCTTCTCCTCACAAAGTGTTATAATTTTATTATTCAAACAAATATTTACTTGTACATTATAAAGGCGTATTTCAAAAACACTGAATAATAATAATTGTGCTACTAAAGCACAAACACTCACACACACACACACACACACCCTCACACACACTCACACACACTCACACACACTCACACACACACACACACACTCACACACACACACACACTCTAAGGCTTCGAAGCATGTTTTTGTGCCTGCAGGGCTAGCCTGACAGAAATGAAGTTTTATTAATATTTAAATATTTATGAATGGCCCACATGTTAACCTCCCTAACACGATTATGGTCGTCAAGCTGTTATTGATTCCCTCTGCGTGTGTTGTTTGTGTGTTCCTCAGCTTCAGCTCTGTCAACAGCACCAAGAGAAATGCTTCTGTGCATACAGTACAGATTAACACACTGTTTAACTATCTCTCTCTCTCTCTCTCTCTCTCTCTCACACACACACACACACACACACACACATATACATATACACTACAAGCCAAAAGTTTGGAAACAACACTAAGTTTGTAAACACACACACACAAAAAGGCCTCTCTGAAGCAAGAGTGGAGCTTGATTTTCTCCTCTCTCAAATATAAAAGCTTTAAGTGCTGTTTATCTATGTGATTTGGTGGTCCACCAGGTGTTGCAGGTGGTTGTTGCGAGTCTTATTTTCTCTGCATTTTTATCAATTTTTTAAACTCCAATTTTTGGAGACTCCTATTTTTTCACTTGTTTTCCATTGACTTTCCTCCTCCTTCAGCCAGTGGATTATCTAATCTCAGATATATCTCTTTAGACAGTTTAGATGCACTGAAAGAAATCTGAAGGCAGCTGAGGTGAGTTTGGGTGGCAGCTTGTGTGCATGTTAGCATCCCTTTAAAGGGAAACAATATCAGTAAGATCTTTGGGAAGCTTTTGTTGGGAGGACTCCGGGTGGTTTTAAGATTGGAAGGATGGAAGAATTAGTGGCAGTGGGTGCAGAAAAGTAAAGAGTAGACAAATGAAATACTGACAGATTTGATATAATGTTTAGCTGTCAAGAGGCTTTTGTGTATTTTACTGTAAAATATACATTTTTTGTTTTCTTTCCTACACAGAAAAATGAATAAATTATGTTCAGTTCTTGTTCCTACAGCTTGTGGATTCTTTTTACAGTGGAGGCTCTTGAGGGGAACTGGAGCACCACTTTGTTGTTGCTTTTGTCAGTTTGCTGCTCATTGGTTTATCCATAGACTATCCAGTGCAGTCTGCTGAAGGTAGTGTTTTAAAAGTCCTTTAAAAGATGTGTTTGAACGAGGGGGCAGCTGGGTTTGCAGTCTGCACTACTACAGATGCTTTGAAGCAACAAACTAGTGACAAACTAACTATGATGCATTAATGGGGTTAAAAATACTAGCGTGTTATCTGTACATTTGGCATGTAGAATGTACACAGAGCAAAACAGTTTGTACCTTTTTGGCCCAGTAGCTGAGCTCTTTGCTGACCAGCTGAATGAGCTCAGAATGGCAAAAAGGCAGGAAGTAAACAATCTCATTTATCCGTCCCAGAAACTCGTCCCGCCTGAAATGGGCCTGAGGGAATCAAAAGACATCATTCACATTCAGGTACCACAGGTGCATGTCCAATAAGATTCAGGTACCAATATTCATAGTATTGACTACATCTTTAAGAACGCCTCTAGTAGGCAAGTAGCTTGTCTCACCACTGTTCCTGCAGCTACAGCCCTGCAAGTGGATGAAGACCAAGCAAAAAAGCCAGAATGACCACGAAAAACATGAAGATATGTGGACACTTTAAACACAGTCTCCTAAAATACTACAATTAGAAGATTAGCTAGATTGGTGGACTGGATCTGTATAACCTGCATAACTCTCCAGTTCAGAACATTCCAATGCATGAGATTTTACAAAAACAACCACAGACACCAATAAACACAATTAAGCTGAATTTGGCTTCTTATTTGCCAGCAATTTCTCAGCTTCTTATTTAAATTTTACAGTCCGCTTTAAATGCTGCAGTAATTACAATTAGGCGCCTCGTTTGTTGAATGAATTGGGGAAAAAGAATCTGGTGAATAAGACACCAACATCATGTTGGCATCTAGGAAATACCATAAACATTCACCTGGTGATTTTAATGAGCATCTAACAAGCAGCACAGCAGAGCTATAATCAGCCACTGAAGCTGCTGGACTGTTGAACACGTCTCACTGGCTGATCCTATTCTGCATCCCAACACTTCACCTAATGGCAGTTCTAATGGAACTACATCGTTTATACTATTTAGTGTGCTAGTATGTGGTTTGGGATGCAGCAGAAGAAGCCAATCAAATCAAATGAAGGTCATACACTGAAACATCTTAGTTCATATGCTTTAAAACTACATTTTAAGCTGAGTGTTTCCTAAAAACTTTGCTGGGTCAGTTATGGCTGTGCTATCTCATAATAAACTGCCATTGTGAACCATCAGAATACTATGACTGGTGAAGTCACTGGGGGCTTTTAAACAACAACAGTAGCAGGGATGGCTAAGGTGGCCGAATTAGACTCGTGGATTCCTGTCGCTGTAGCCTGCGGCTCCACTACAGCAGAAACATCAGGTTGCCATAGTCGTTAAAACGTGAGATTCAGGTGAATTAAGATCACATTTTTCTTGCGTGTCGAATTATAAATTTCAGCACAACTCAAAGACAATGGTTAACTCAGCTGATTTTTCCAGTTGGATGCAAAAGTTTGATCCAATGACAAACTTTCAGTGATTTTCAAAGTGAACACATCCTCTACAGAGAACACACTTCCACACACTGTCGTGCACAATTACTGTTTTTCTCACTAAGAAAATCAACAAAACATGGAATATGACCACGAATGTTCAAACATTTATTTATTTATTTATTTATTTATTTCATTTTTGCCATGGCCGTCTGCATGTTTAAAGGTCCTACGGTTAGCTGGACACATGGGCAAGACATCTGTAGTGACAAATAGGCAGGGAATGTACTTAGCAGCCAGCAATGTACTTCTACTTCTACAGCTACATAGCTATGCATGTTTTTCTTTTAATAAAAGTTTTAAAGTCTTTTTAAAGGCATCATAGTTTATTTTTTCCAGCGAAGTGATTTGCCATCACAAAAAACACTAAGTGTGGTTTTTTTTGTTTCTTTGTTTCCGTTTTTTTATTATTTAAAAAAGTATCAGTACAGTGCAGTACTTTACCTTCAGAATGGGCCGAATCACTTCTTCTTTAAACTGTTTGGAGATGGTGATTTTCTCACTCTGCTGAACGTCATCTGCAAAAAAAAATGCAGTAAATTGTTAGTAATTTTCTTACTTTTCTTACATTTTTATTAATTTATTTATTTATTATTTATTTATTATTTATTCAGTAACTACTGAAAATTAATATTCAGTATTTACAAAAGATTATTCAATATTTCCTTTAAACAATTCAGCAGCTATTATTCTAAATATTATTTTGCACCTATGATGTATTATTCAGCAACTACTATGAATCGTTCAGTATTTACTATAAATGATTCAGGAAATTCTACTATGAATTATTCTATACTAAAATGATTTATTCAGCAACTACTACAGATTATTCACTAACTACTATTATTAATTTAGAGGCTAGTAAAATTTGTTAAGTACTATGAATTATCCAATAACTATTAGTAATTATTTTATAACTACTGTGAATTATTCAATAAATACTATGTATTATTCAGCAACTACTACGGTAACTCGGTAACTACTATGAAGTTTTCAGTATTTACTATAAATTACTCAGGATATTTTACTATGAATTACATATTAAAATGATTTATTCAGCAACTAATGTGACTCATTCAGTAACTACTATGAAGTATTAAATAACTATTACAAAAGTTGCGTAAGTTAGGTAGTTATGAGATGTGGGCCTCCATACAGGCCTTTAGGTTAAATGTTTAAGCGGTTAATGTTAATGTTTATGATCTGTGTGTTTTAAATGGATGTTGATCCTAAGTGTGAATAAATGTGGTGTCTTACCCAGATTTTCTGCCAGCCGGCGTCGGCTCTGCTCTTCGGCTTCCCGTCTCAGCTGCAGTGCATGATGGGCAATATCGTCACTGGCCACGTTGGAGGTCATAATGAAGATGGCGTCCTTACACTCAATGGTTTTCCCCTTACCGTCCGTCAGACGACCCTGCAGAGGAGATGTTTCAATGAAGATGTTTCTTTTTATTATTAATTACACTCAATTACTGCACTTCCACTCACTGGCTGTGGTACAAGCGTTCCTAATAAAGTGGCCTGTGAACGTGTAGAAACATTTCTGATCAATTTATAATGAACATTTTTTTTTCCAAAGAACATGAGGAAGAACCACCGAGAGGAACCAAGACTCAAGACGTGAAACGTCCTAAGAACATGAGGAAGAACCACCAAGAGGAACCAAGACTCAAGAGGTGAAACGTCCTAAGAACATGAGGAAGAACCACCAAGAGGAACCAAGACTCAAGAGGTGAAACGTCCTAAGAACATGAGGAAGAACCACCGAGAGGAACCGTGGCTCAAAAGTGGATCCCATATTCCTCCGGAATACAAGTAATATTGCAACCCCACAAACTGGTGATGTTCTAGAACGCTCAGGAACGTCTGAGAACATCTGGCAGTGATGCAAGTGTGACTTGTGCGTTTGTACCTCATCAAACAGCTGCAGCATGATGGTGAGGACGTCCGGGTGGGCTTTATCCACCTCGTCAAACAGAACCACAGCGTTCGGACACTGCTTCAGCTGCTTAGTGAGCTGACCACCCTCCTCATGACCAACATAACCTGGAGGGGAGCCAATGAACTTAGCCACCTGAGAGAGAGAGAGAGAGAGAGAGAGAGAGAGAGAGAGAGAGAGAGAGAGAGAGAGAGAGAGAAGAGAGAGAAAGAGGAGAGAGAGAGAGAGAGAGAGAGAGAGAGAGAGAGAGAGAGAGTACTACGTTCACTCATCCCTGTGTGTCTGTGAGGGAGTTAAGGCCCAAGGTCAGTGCTTTAGCGCACGGCTAAACGGCTTAAGACTGACAGCTCAGGTATGAGGGGTCACTAATAACAATGCCTTTAAAATGATGACATCAGCTTTAAGACTGTAAAGACAAAGAGCAGCAGCACAGCTGACACCAGCAGCACTGCACGCTAGGCTAATCACTGCACTACACACAAGACTACACACAGCACTACACACTGCTCACACACACTGCTCACACACACTGCACTACACACAAGACTACACACACTGCACTACACACAAGACTACACACACTGCACTACACACACTGCACTACACACACTGCACTACACACACCGCTCACACACACCGCTCACACACACTGCACTACACACTGCTCACACACACTGCACAACACTGCACTACACGCACTGCACTACACACACTGCTCACACACACTGCACTACACACACTGCACTACACACACTACACACACTGCACTACACACACTGCACTACACACACTGCACTACACACACTGCTCACACACACTGCACTACACACACTGCTCACACACACTGCTCACACACAAGACTACACACACTGCACTACACACACTGCACTACACACACTGCTCACACACAAACACCCAGCCTGATCAGAACTGTGCTGAGTAATAACAGTGTAGATGGAAATACTGTACACGACACACCAAAAGGCAGGTGTAGATCCTGTATTACATATTTGAAGTTTCTCCAGAAAAATGAGGTCATTAAATGATAAAATACTGCAATTATTTACTTACATTATACTGAGTTTCTCATCTCATCATCTGCCATAAAATATGATCACCAAGCTGAATTATGAGGCCTTCTGCATATTAATTTCATTATTACTTTATTGTAGATGTTAATTTGATTATAACTTCGTTCTGGATATAAACTGTATTATAACTTCATTCTGAATATTCATTTTATTATAAATCTAATCTGAATATTCATTTTATTATTACTTCATTCTAGATGTAAATATAACTGTATTCTGAATGTTAACTTTATTATAACTTCATTCTGTATAGTAATTTTACTATAACTCCATTCAGAACATAAATCATATATAAATATTATTATAATACAATAAAATAATAATAATAAATATAATATAATATGTAAATATTATTACATATAAATATATAAATAATGTCATACTGGATATTCATTTCATTATAATTTCATGCTGTATATCAATTTTATTATAATGCCATTTGGAATATTATTTTAAAATAATTTTTATTTTAACTTCATTCCTGATATAAGTTTCACTCTGGATGTTAATCTTATTATAATTTACTGCTGAATATTTATTTCATTATAACTTCATTCTTGATATAAACTTTACTCCGGATGTTAATTTTATTATAATTTTTGTTTAATATGTATTTTATTATAATTTAATGCTGGATGCTGATTGAATTATGTTTGCATTATATTTGTATTATATTTTATATTTGTATTAATAAGTTTAGCTTATTCTAGATATTAGAACAGCTTCACACATTTATTACCAACAAAAATGTAATTTTTTCTAAACTTGTGAAGAGCAGACCTGAACCTTTACTACTATATTGTATATTAATGCTTATAAAAAATACAGTAAATGAACTGACAGCTCAATCATATGAGAGTATGAACATTTTACCTCATGTTTCTCCTGAAATTCAGACATGTCCATTCTTATGAAACCCTATTGAATAGAACATGTTTACATTAGTCAGTAACTCAATAAATATGAATAAATATATGGATAATATATGGTTGGTTTATTGCTGGTGTTGCTGTTTGATACTGACCTTCTTGATGTCTTTGTGCATGTACCTGGCCACCTGCTTGGCCAGCTCGGTTTTACCTACAAACACAAACACTCACTATTTTACAATGTTACAATATTTTACAGTCACAATATTTTTTAATCATGTCCCCAAAGCAGCCTGCAGTGCAGCTCAGTAAGGAGCATCACTGAGGGAAGATCATCTGCTTCAGTAGCTTTAATGTTGCTACGACCACAGCCTACACGGCTAACTACTGCAGCACAGCTGAAGGACTTTGCTGACCGCACTGTCCTTGTCAGTTTCCATGGCCAATACAGCCACATGTACCATATACCAGCTACATGAATACATGTGCAACAGAAATCTACACCTGAGGCCGAATTACAGAAACATCCTTACTCTGTTTAGTCACCATGACAACAGTTAGGACTGAATTTAGGACAGTAGCTATTACAGAACAACATATCCCAACTTCATAATCTCATCATGAACTCCAGATAAGAAAACAGCATCACACAAACATCCTAACTGGACAGAATCTCCTCAAGACTGTCCTCTGTTTCTATCGTTAGCCATTCAATTCAAAAGAGAAGCATAACAAGCTCACTATAACTTCCATAATGGCATCATATTTATTCATGCTGCACTTTTTCAAGTGATTTTTTTCCCCTGAAGTTCATAATAACTTCATAGTGAACAATTTTATTATGACTTCATTCTGGACATAAATTTTATTACAATGTCACTCTGAATATTAATTGTATTACAAGTTCATTTGGAAAATTAAGTCTAATATAATTTCATTCTGAATATTCATTTTATTATAATTTAATTCTGGATATTCATTTTATTATAATTTCATTATAGATTATAATTTTACCACAATTTCATCCTGAATATTATTTTTAGTAAGATTCCATTCAGGATATTAATTTTATTATAATTTTATTCTGGATATGAATTTTATTATGAAGTTATTCTGGATATTAATTGTATTGTAATTTCATTCTGGATATTAATTTTATTATAATTTCATTCAGGTATATTAATTTTATTGTAATTTCAGTCTGGATATTAATTTTATCATAATTTCATTAATTTTATTATGAGTTCATTGTGGATTTTTTTTTTCTAGTTTTTATTCTTTTATAATTTCATTCAAATTTTATTATGAGATCATTCTAGAAATTAATTGTATTCCAAGTTCATTCTGGATAATAATTTAATGTAATTTCATCCTGGATATAATTTTATTTCCTCAATATTCATTTTTAATACAACTTCATTCTGGATATTAATTACCTTAGAACTTCATTCTCCAGCTTCATTCCCTCTAATTACATGATTGTATGTAAGGTTCTAGGTAAAGACTTCTGTCTATGAAGGTTCTGTAATTGGGCCCCTGATTGAAGAAGGTTTCCATCCTCTATTTTAACAAATATTACCATATCAAATACAAAAGGTTTGATGGAAAAAGCAAATACTGAATAAAATCGACACACGTTACACAAAGGTTTCTACAGTCTTGAGGTGAATAAACCTTTTTTGCCAACCAACTTCTAAGACTGAACTGAGGTGTGGAAAAACATCCCTGCAGATTTCTGTGAAAAACTCAAAGCCAGTTCCTTTGAAAAGAATGGAAGCTGTAATAACGGCGAAAGGTGGACAAGATAAACACTGGAAATCGTTACTATATTTGTCAAATTTGTTAAATATGTTTTCTGTTTCTTCCTGAATAACTTGTACCTGTGGACACTAGATTTTGCAGGTGGGCATGTTCTGAAGAGGGTGGGTGTGGTCATTAATAATCAGGCCTGTGCAGGTCTTTACTGTAAAGCTTGTCCTTCCCCTCCACAGCAGCTACCAAAGAGCCAATTACATTCTATTTCACAAGATTCTCCACCAGAAGAGTTTCCCCCCCGATCGTGACTGAAATCAGCGTCCCACCCAGTGCCCACTTGGGCTTTTTGTTTTTCCCTTTCCGGGTCCGTCATTTCTCTCTCTCTGACTCTGTTTTCCATCTCCTGTCCGTCTCGCTCATCCATTCTCCCTCTGTGTCTCTCTCGCTGCGTAAAATATTCCTCTTATGAATTTTAATATACATATATGGTAAGCGGGGGGGCTGCTGAATATTGATGCTGGTGGTCAGAGAAGCTGCAGGCAATAAAACGGCAATATGAGGCATCTAGCAATCTACATCAATCTCCTCAGGACCATCAGACAAACAAACAACTGTCACAGTTCATGAGTGTGTGTGTGGTGGTGGTGGGACATCTTGTGTACGAGTGCTTAGGATGAAAGAAAAGGCCGAAATGAGAACAGTTATTCACAAACAAGGGAAAAGTGACTGTTTAGCTTCGGAGAGGTTTGTCGAAGTCCAGCAGAAGTTTGTACAGTACCAGTCAAAACTTTGGACAGACCTACTTAAAGCATCTGATTCACAATTAACTGTTTTTTTAAATTGATTTTAAAATGATTTTTGTGAATTAAGAACAATTCAATTTGATACACTTAACATTTTGATTCAGTGACTGGATTCAGTTATTCAAGCATGTTTAAGACTTATTACAGTTAATTAAAACTATTGATATAATCAAGTCAGGGTTTCCTGTTTTGTTGATGTTTTTTCAGAAAGAGTCTTCAGTGCTCATCAGTCCAGCTGTGTCAGTTTGCGTGGTCTACTGTTTTGTGGCTGAGCTGTTGTTGCTCCTATACACCTCCATTTCACAATAACAGCACTTACAGCTGACCAGGGCAGATCTAGCAGGGTGAAAAATTTCACAAACTGACCTGTGGCACAGGTGGTGTTCTACGACTGTGCCACGTTTAAAGTCACTGAGCTCTTCAGTACGACTCATTCTACTGCTAGTGTTTGTCTATGGAGACTGCACGGCTATGTGCTTGATTTTATACACCTGTTAGCAATGGGTGTGGCTGAAACACTTGGACTCAATAAGAAGGAGGGGTGTCCACATACTTTTGGCTATCTATCTGTCAAGCAGCTTCATAAGAAGCACCCTGGGAAGCTTTTTCAACAGACCTGAAGAAGTGCACATACAGTAATGTAAATGACTGGGGCGCCTAAACTTTTGCACACGACCGCATACTGAGACCTTGTTGGCTGTTCAAAACTACTTGTTGGGGGCACTGAAAAAAAACAACAATTAAAAAATTTGGGAAGTAAAGGCTTCAACTTCATATTTCTGTTTAGAGGCTGAAACAAAGAGAAGTCACCGATTCCGGAAGAGCCGAGGAAGAGGAAGACGAGGGGATGCTCTTCATCATACCATCCGTTCTCTTTCCTCCTGATGGCTGGAATAAACACAGAATGAAAGAAAGAAAGAGAAGAAATTGTTATTGTTATTATTACTTTATAACTATGTAATGTACACGTACACATTTTGGGCTTTTAACTGACTTAGACTTTAGACTAAAATCTTTTTGCTTTGAGTGACCTTAGTCGACCTTCATTATGTTTATTTTATTAAAATTATTGAATTTCCATTTTATCATTACCAAAACAATCATAACGTAAGCGAAACTTTACCAAATGTTTCAGTAGTGACTGTTTCAGTAGTGACACTTTCGTTCGTTTTGAGCAGAACTCAGAAACACTAACTGGTACATGACCAGCACACACAGCTCTGGACAGTTGTGCACACATAAAATCATTATATTCTTCATTAAAACACAAAAAAGTTACTTAATTACAGAAAATGTGTTTCAGTAGTGACAATATATGATGTTACACACTGATTTTCATACAGTACTTCTAAACAGTGGGATATAACTGCTCACCATGTGGCCATGAGGGACAGGGATGCAGTCTCACTTCCTGCTCTAAAATGCAGGGGCGTGGCTAAAAATAGGCTCCGCCCTTAGACTAAAACTCAGTGTCTCTGTAGTGACATGAAAATGTGGGACAGCATTTTTTTTTTATTCAAAAATTAAACTGATAAATCTAATTTTTTTTAACTTCACTTTAAAAGAAATCAAAAAGTGTAAGTATAAATTTAAAAACCTTAAAAAAAACCCCAATAAAATGTAAGTAGTGTAAATTGAGGGGTTAGGGTTGGTCCAGACACCTCCCAATAGAAAGTGCCCTATAAATGATGATGTTGTACATATTTAGCTTATTAATATCTCTATTAAGGCCTCGAGTTTAAACCGATTAAATATATATGGTCTGAATACTTAAATGTTTTTGAACAGTGTTTTTACTGTGGGAGCACAGTTTGAACTAATTCGGTATGATGGTCCATAGGGTACATACACATTAGCTGCTCTTTACATTGTGCGAATGTGTGGAAGTTTTTACATGAAACACTTAAAAATGAAGTCTGAGTTGACAGTTTGGAGATAAACTTTGGCCAAAAAAAATTTTTTTTTAATTCATTCATGGCGGAGAGGTACATGCAGGGCGTTGTAAGGCAAAATAGACCCCAAAGAAAACTTGTTCATATTTACCACTATTTTATCACCATTAACATTATATATAAAAACCTCACTGGAGTTCCCCTTAAATAAGGTGCTTGCTTTGAAGTTTTTTTTCACGACAGTGACGATAGTAACAAAACAACTTTATTCCCTTAAAACGTTGTGCTTTAACAAAAGAGAGAAGGATAAATTGACAAGACATAGGTGAAGGGAGTGATGTGAGCAAAAGAGTAAAGATAAAGACCAAAATGCATGTCGAACACACGCAAACGCACAAACATACGCCTCTCTCTTTCTTCCCTCATCCTCTCCTCCCTCCCTCCCTCCCTCCCTCCATTAGCTCGACGCTAATTCCATTAGCCTGCTCCATGCTGCAGCCGGCAAATCACGTTAGCATGGATCCAGCAGAGGTGCCTCAGGAACAAGGGCTACGATAACACGCCGTCGCCACGGAGACCGGCCCTGTGCGCGCGCCTGTGTGTGTATGAAAGGGACGGGCAGATATAAATGCGAGCGAGAGAGCAGACCGGGTGGTTTTGGGGTAATAGAGGGGGGTTCGGTGGCCTGGGGGTCAGGGGTGTTTTTGTGAGTTTGCATGGAACAGAGTCGAAGCTTAAAGCTAAATAAAGCTAAGAGGCACTTAGAGCAGCCAAGGAGAAATATCCATCATATCTCATCCTGCTTAGCTCTTACGGAAGAGAGAGAGAGATGGAGAGGGAGAGGGAGAAATGTTTTCGGAATTCTGCGGCTGCACAATAGGCCTGTGCTGGTAAAAGGGGAATTCCACTGATTTTTTAAAATTTCTGCATAACTCAATCGTCAGGATGCAAACAAAGTCATTCAGAGTGGTTTGATGTCAAATGCTCCACTACAGAGAAATTTACTGACTATGACTTGTTTACCGTGGTGGTGACGGGAACCAGGGGTCACGTCTTCTTATCATTTTATTTACCATCCAAAACCACCAGTGACTCTTCATTGTCTTCTGAATGTTTATTGTAAAATAGTGGAACATCTGGAAAAAAAAATGGAGGGCTATTTTGCTTTACAACACCCTTCATGTACCCCCCGCCATGAATGGATGTTTAAACGTGATGTTTTAGGCCTACATCTTCTCATAAATCACTGGCTGTGTTTACATGCAAAGATTTTTGCCAATCTGATCGAATACAGTCCTATTATAGATTCAGACTGAGGTGTTTATATGCTCACTCTACTCAACAGTCTGAGGGAAAATCTCCATTTGCATGCCCACTACAAGTAATTTGATCCACTTAGTGTAGACGTTACCATGACAACGAGCATCATGTGAGTCCAGTCAGAGTGAGATGAGCAGCAGTGAGCAGTGCTTGCGTTTTTAACTGCTTTAAAATGATGTCAGACTCAGGAAAACGTCCTTCACATGTCCTTATTAAAGAAGGCCGAGAGGAAGACGTCGTGTTCTGAGACACATAAGCTGGACGTCCGTCCCACCGCCGTCTTTTAAAGATCAGAGCATAAACTTCGTCTCCTCTGCAGACCAGTTTCTGCTCCGCCATGTTGAACGGTATAAACTCTCACTATGACGTGACGAACATGATCAGAACGGACCTAAACTTTACGTAACCATGTCATATGAGGCGTTAAACTCTTCAGACGTCTGGTTCCCATCACCACCACTTAACAATTCTTGATAGGTTTCTCTGGAACACAGCATTTCACAACAAACTACTACTATAAATTGTTAACACATTAACCATTTACTTATACAGAAACCGTGAAAAACCGTTCAATCTCCCCTTTAACCGAGTTACCATGGTAACATCCCCCACTGACTGAAAAAAACTAATTTACCACCTGTTTAAAAAAAACACTGTAGATCTATGTGACTCCTCAGACTATGTATATTAAAGCAATAAGCCAAGAGAGGCTTCACGCATACAAACCGTTCAAAAGTTTACCATCAATATTTTCAACAACATTAAACTAATTTATTTGAAGACAGGTGTAAACAGTAATTCTAATACGTTAGTCTTGTACAGCATCACAGGTTTCAAATAACTAGTAGGATGAAGATGCACTCGCTTACTATGAAGCCACATGGTTGTAACGTACAGATTGTGGCTTTGCACTGTGGTGTTGAAGGGGACGTCGCTGGAAAAGATGTCACCAGCATTTAGAGCATCTGTTGCTCTAAAATGTGTACATACTCCTCAGTATTACTAGTGCCTCCATAGATGTGCAAGTGACCCATACCATTGGCACAAAAACACTATTTCCAAAAACAATTTGAAAGAGAGACTCGTCAGACCACAACACACATTTCCACATTGCGTCAGTCTGTCTCAGATGAGCTTCAGCCCAGAGAAGTCGGCGGTGTTTCTGGATGTTGTTGACATTTGGCTGCCACTTTTGCATAGTAGAGTCTTTCTTGGCACAAATTATATGTAAAAGAGCATTATTCTTTGTCTAGTTGCCACTACTGGGCCTTCTTGGTAAAAACACTCTGAAAATGGGCAATTCTCAGATCCCTTGGTCTGAAAGCTCTTGGACTGAGCAAGATTGAGATTTCTTGGTGAAAAAGCTTTTGAGAAGGGCACTGCTGGATTTTTTTGTCTAAATGCTTTGCTCTTGGATGGGACATCGCTTTCTTGGTCCTAATGGTCTCGGCATGGACATTACTGGATGTTTTTAGTTCAAATACTCCTGGGATGGACATTGCTGAGGCTTTTGGGATAAGCATCAGTGGGCTTTCTTGGTCTAAATGCTTTTGGCTTGGCATTACAGGGCTTTCTAAGTCGTCTGAGTACTCTTGGGGGTGGACACTGCTTGTCCCACGTGTTTAAAGCAAAGATATGGAATGTTCTGCAATGGCCAAGTCAACCACCTGACCTCTATGTAATCAAGCATGCATGCAAGCTTACTGAAGGCAAAACTGAAGGTAAAATACCCCAAGAAGGCAAGAAGGAAGGGCAGGAACTAAAGACAGTTGCAGTTAAAGCCTAGAAGAACATGGCCAGGGAGGAAACCCAGTGTCTGGTGAACTTCAGGCAGTTATTCACTGCAAAAGATTTCAACCAAGCACAAAAAATGACAATTTCATTTATGATTATGTTAGCCCATTCATTTTTGGGGGCTGTATGACTCTAATTGAATGTAAAATGTGTATGTAACCCTCAATATCATTGATGTCTCCACAGATGTGCAAGTGACCCATGCCATTGGCACAAACACAATATTTCCAAAAACAATTTGAAAGGGGGACTTGTCAGACCACAACACACATTCAACTTTGCATCAGTCCGTCTCAGATGAGCTTTAGCCCAGAGAAGTCACCTGACCCGAATACTGCACGCTGATATTCGCTGAATGGATTTATTAAGTTCTGCTGGAGAACTGCGCCGGTGTTTGACCGTTTCTGCTGTAAAACTTGCAACACCTTGACAATGGACAATAATGGCTTTTGTGACTAAACGTATATAGTTCAGAAGGCACTGTGTGTTAAGAATAACTCTCTACAGTCAGCTGGTTTTTTTTAAAGAATGGCATTTATCATCTTTTGCAATTGAACACTTCAAATATCAGATGAGTATCGGTGTCAGCTGATACTCATGGTCTCAATATCACTACTGGAAAAGAGAAAGAGGTACCGTGCGATCTGTAACTCTAATGTAAGGTCATGTGTAGTGCATCCACTCAGAAAGCCAATTACAGTTCAGCATCTCAGCATCGAACCCATTATAACTGACAAAGAGCAGAGAGAGAGAGAGAGAGAGAGAGAGAGAGAGAGAGAGAGAGAGAGAGAGAGAGAGAGAGAGAGAGATACGCTGATATCACGTTACAGAAACCTGTATTTCGTTCTGTGGAACCAGCACAGGAAATGAGAGGAGTCTACT